ACACAAAATCATGGTACTTATAAATTTGACATCCAACCTCTAACATTTAAATTGTTCTAACAACATCCACCATTCCAAAATAACACATTTAAATTGTTCTAAAGAAATCCACCATTCCAAAACAAAACATTACAGCACTGTAATCGTAACATAACAATCTTGGTTCATCAGTTTTTCAAGCTTAAGCCTTTATAATACCGAAATGTACTAGCAGCTCAGTAGTCATCTTGATTCGGTATGCATTCATATCTTCTGGTCTCACGAACTCAACATTTATACCCATCATCAAATACTCGGCCATCTTCAAGACAAACATTCCACAACTATCAATGTCCACCAAAAAACAAAATGCTTACTTCATGATTTCACACTCATTTGGTATTATAACACTTGCATATTTACTGTAATCGCTAAATACGTACCTGTCCTTTTGTTGTGGGCATTCATTCACCATCTTTATTTGCAAGAATTCTTCACCCATCGGACCCTCACTTCGCTCATTGTATACTCCTAGCTTATCCATCACTTTAGGTAAAAACATTTGAATGCACGGTAGATAATGGTGAAGGTGGATGTTTGTTTCACCTCGCCGAACTAGAGAATCATACACCCGTATTGATTTTCCACTTATGTCCAGTACCAGAAGGATCCAGTGGTTACCATTATTCAGCGGCATGTACACAATGTCCGCTTCTGCCCATGACAACGCGTAGTCCAAACGTGTCCCAAGTATGATACCCATTATATTCCTGTTTAATGCTGTGTCTGCCACTGCCGTTGCACCGTTAATGTGTGTATCGTAATGTTGTTTCAGCAAATGCATAAACATCGTGTCTGCAGTCGTGAACTTTTGCTGCAACTGGTATTGCTCAGCTTTCATCCTTAAGAAGTACATCCCCATCTCCACATGCTTCAAAAAAAAATTCAGCATTGCATCCACGTTATTAATCATAGTCAAGTAATAATACATGACTTCCTATCAATGCTTAGTAATCATAGTCAAAAAAAATTCAGCATTGCATCCACGTTATTAAGCATTACATAATAAGTACTTACCAAGTCACTCAACCAGTTCCCTGGGAAGTATAATGTGTAGTACCATGACTTCCTATCAATGCTTCCATCCCCCATTCTGCTATCATGCATGTCAGAGTTAGCTTCTCATATTCTATCTTGTATTTCCTATAGTTACTCTTTGTATGATTTTTCAGTAATCCAGAATGCATGAATTCTGATGTCTTTTTAAGCAATTCTGCATCAGGCATTTTCGAAGGATCTAGACTAAATGGCCCTACTATTGCCTGCCCTACATCATGACATGCATCTTCTTCCTTTCCTTTTTCTTGTGTCCTCCTCCTTTTCTCTTTTCTGGGCCCAGAAAATGTGAATCTATCAGGGCATTTTGCCTGCCGTTTTGGTCTTTCCTCAACTGCCAATGGGGACGTGTTCCCGGTGTATACCTGGTCCATCAACACAAGTTGTTTTCAATAATTATTGACAGGAATCATATTAACAGGAATAGAAGCTCATCATAGTAATCATAGTTAGTAACAGGATTAATATATTAAGTTTTAATTAAATAACATGTACTTGTATTCATATGCACCCTTTGCGAATCTTACCACAACTTGGGACTTCACTGGTTCTAAACAATCTTCTTTTTCAGTTTGGTGAATGCAATCAGTCCCCTTGACATGTTCATTTGACACCTGCATTAACACAAATCAATAATAAAATCAATGCACACACTTCATCAATGGTATTAACATATCTTGCTATACATAATACATGTTTAGGTTCACTGTCCTTGTTTCTCACTTCACTTTCAAGTACAACTACTTTATTTCCCTGTACCATGCACGTGTAAACAATAATATCACTAATATATAGTTCCTATTTAGTTAAAAACACATTAAACTTCATGTATCCAATTCTTTGTTATATAATCAAAGATTTTCCTTGTTTACCTCATCATCATTTGTTTCTTTACTTCCTTTTTCACTTACCGCTGGAGCGTTCATATTGCCCATGTACTTCTCAAATATGGCATCAGCCTCCGCACACAGCAGCTGCGTATCCAGCACTCCTAAATCTTCATAGCTCTGAATATCATTATGCTCTTCTTTCTCTGTCTCATCATTCATCATATTCTTTTCAATCAATTCCACCTCCTTAACTAATTGTTGGGTGTTCATTGATCCATCAATTTCCTTGAACATGACGTCTTGTGTCATTTGCACATCATCCACTACCATCTCATCAGCCGTCTCTGCTTGCTCACAACGTACGTCCTCAACTTCATCATGCTCATTACCTTGCTCACTGTCTTCTACGACATGTTCATTGAAATCCATACCCAAGTCAAAATTTGGCATGTCTCCCTTATCTTTCATTGCTGCTTTCTTGGACACTTTCTTCAGCTTTTTAAGCTTCCACATCATGGCTCTACTAGCTAAAACCTTCTTCAACATGCTGGATTGTTTCATTTGCAACTCACATAGCTTATCCACCTTAGATTCTAACTTTTTAATCTTTTTCCTTGTGATACAACTGCTGCCATTAAACTGTGCATCACTTTATCTTCCTTCTCTTCAATTCCGGGTATCTTTTTATTTTTTTCTTTCCCTTTATGCGCAACCACCCTTTTTTTTCCTACCTTACTGCCTCTCTTTACTGCCTTGTCCATCACTCTACTCGATCCCCGTTCTTCAAAATCATCACTATCATTTCCCTCCCTCACCTCAACTTCATTAACATTCTTTGTCAATGATTTAATAACCCACTCCATCTTCACCTCTTCTTCAGTGGGTTTCATTTCTGCCCATTCTACCTGCACACATAAGTATAAAAACATTAGTATATTAACCAATATGAAAAATACAACACTTACATTAAATTATTTACTTTTCCTACCTGGTCATTATTAAATATCACCTCTTCAACAACTTGTTGTGACGGCCTAGCAGGGGCTGCCCATTGTAGTGTCCTAGGCCACATATTTGCTCTCGCCCTTCTCACACACACATTTGCTTTTTCAAGGCCTGGGAAGGTCTCATATGCCCAGATCTGCAGAGCAAACATATACCCTGGAAATGTAAATCTTGCTGACGGCTCCTGGTAAAGAATGCCTGCACATTTCTTTACATTTTCATGTAGATCACCCCACACAACATCACCCCATGGATATTTATTGAACTTTTCGATATCATCTACCAGATTAACGTACTCAGATGGGAGGTATGTTGATGGTTGATTTCCCAGAATATAACTGCCTAGGACATGCAATAACCCAAGCTTTACCGCATCCATTGCATGTGCTCCACTCTGTCTTGATTTCCCTGATTCAAAAACCCTTTTAATGACTTGTCGTTGAACTTTCTTCATTCCAGAGAAGTATCTACTCCACAAATCCCCTGGAGCTTTAGTGGATATACTTGCCTTCTCTGTACCAAACGGGAACCCAGTAATCATTGCCATGTCCCTTTTTGTAAAGCACACAACTTTGTTACCAATCACAAATTCAAGCTTTGTTTCGTCCTTCCCTGTATCCAATCGCTCAACATGATTCGCGATTAGTAGGATTAACAACTGCCCATTTACCCAAGGTGTATTTCCCAATTCAAGTAAATAACCGAACACAGATTTTTGAAATTCTTTGAGCTCATCCTCAGTTAAATAGCTCCTTATACTCTCAACTGCCTTTACTGGATTACAATAACAATTTATTTTCATAGATTTTTCGAGCACAAAGTTTTCACACTCAGTACTCTTCACATACTCCTGCAATATAAAAGATTAACAGTGTCATAATAAATCTCATAGTACATAAATGGGGGGAAAAATAATGCCTTATTTTAATACATTAATGTCCAAGCTCACTATCTTTTCCAACACTTCACTCAAATGTAGACCATTACTCAATTATTGCTTACACACTGCTTATATTTCTTTTTTTCATAACAAATTCCTTTTACTGCCCTTTTGCACCCTACTACCTCATCCACTCTCAATTCTCCTACATGTACCACATTACTGCCCTGTTCAACAATTCCTACCTTTTCAGGATTACTGCCTCTGTTATACACTGCATATATTAATATTTCTTCAATCACAGTACTTCTATTACTGCCCTTTTAAATTCCTTTTATTGGTGTGTTCTATTTTCGCCTTGCACAGTAATGGCCTATTCCAATTGCCACCTAATCCCCTGCATATATTTCCCCCAAATAATGCCCTACAATGCACTGCATCAATTTCCCCCAAATAATCGACCCCAACAATGCCCTAATGCAATTGCCCCCAAACATTTCCAAAATTGCTCGACCTGGACACACCACAATTCTCGAATATTGCCTACTAAATCTCTATCAAATATATTTCCCTTACTCATACATCACATTCACATGATACATGCCCATATCACATAAACATCACAAACCTCACATAACCCTTGTATATTCTCAAGATTGTTTAACATATAATCACACACCATATACATCACAAACCTCACATAACCCTTCTTTTTTACAGGCAAGTAAACGTACCACTCCGTCGACAGTAATTACATGATTTTCAGTCGCCCCTTGCTTTGTTGAAGCGTGTGTTCGTTTCTCTTGCTTCCCAACTGCTCTCTTTCCCCGGGTCGGAGTCTTGTTCCTCATTTTTTGCCTTCAATCTCCGCCGTCGAGTATTGCCAAGGAGTTTTGGGAGTACGGATTATCCACGATGTTTCAGTTAATACGGATTATCCATTTTGGGAAGTCCCACATTAAGCTGCTGGTTTCTCGCCTGAATTCGCTCGTGGTAGTTAGTGGGAAGGGCATTTTTGGGTTTTTTATTGCCATTGTATCATGCGCCCATGTATGTCACACGGTGTTTAGTCATACGGATGTTAAAATTCAATTTGAGTCATATTTTGGGAAACCTCATGTCTTTTAGTATTATTTAGGTTTTTTTCCCTTCTTTTTCCTATATATAGTGTGTGCACAATTTATAGGCATGAAATAACTCACACTTCATTTCTTTGCCCTCTTCTTCCAACGCCATCATGACCATCAAATCACCCCGTAATAACTCAGAGAACCTTCCACTTCGAGAAATACCAGGTGGGTATACCTATGCTGGCTCCTCCTTCTTGGGAGCCATAAAAGACAGATATGACTATTTCTACAACCAAGGCGGCCAAGACAACTTCTTCCTCGCCAAACTCCGGAAGTACAACTCCACCGTCTTCCGTTCCAACATGCCGCCCGGCCCTTTCATCTCCAGAGACCCCAGGGCCGTCGTCCTCCTCGACGCCGCGGCCTTCCCCCTACTCTTCGACAACTCCAAGGTTGACAAAAGGGATGTACTCGACGGCACTTTCATGCCATCCACCGCCTTCTTCGGCGGCCACCGCCCCTGTGCCTTCCTCGACCCCACCGAGCCGTCGCATGCGGCGTTGAAGTCCTTTTTCTTAGCAACCTTAGCCGGCCTCCACAAAAGCTTCCTCCCGCTCTTCACCGCCTCTCTCGGAGACCTTTTCGTCAGCTTGGAATCCGAGGTGTCCCGGAAGGGGAAAGCGGGTTTCAACAATGCTAGTGATAGGATGTCATTTGATTTCATTTTCCGGCTGTTCTGTGACGGGAAAGACCCGTCGCAGACAAAGGTCGGTGACGGTGGGTCAAAGCTCGTTGACTCGTGGATCCAATTCCAGATTTCCCCGTTATACTCTATGGGTTCGTCGAAGTTTGTCCCGAACTTTCTTGATGACTTGATTTTCCACGTATTCCCGTTACCATTTCTCGCCGTTAAGTCGGCTTACAAGAAACTTTGTGACGTTTTCTCCGAGTCGGCGGCTCCGCTTCTGGATGAAGCGGAGAAGAGGGGCTTGGAGAGGGACGAAGCTCTTCATAACTTGGTGTTCCTAGCCGGCTTCAACGCGTACGGCGGCATGAAAGCCTTCTTCCCATCACTAATCAAGTGGGTCGGCAGCGCGGGGGAGGACTTACACCGCCGACTTTTTAAGGAAATCAGGGCCGTTGTTATGGAAGAAGACGGCGTGACTCTCATAGCCCTAGAGAAGATGAGTTTGACCAAGTCAGTGGTTTACGAGGCGCTGCGGATTGAACCCCCGGTCCCGTTCCAGTACGGAAAGGCCAGGGAGGATACGGTGGTCCAGAGCCACGATTCGTCGTTCCTGATCAAAAAGGGTGAAACGATCGTGGGATATCAGCCGTTGGTTATGAAGGATCCGAAAGTGTTCGCGGATCCGGAGCGGTTTGTGCCCGACAGGTTTGTCGGGGAGGGAGGGGACATGATTCGGTACGTGTTCTGGTCAAACGGAAGGGAGACATGCAACCCTACAGCTGGCAACAAACAGTGCGCAGGGAAGGATCTGGTGGTGCTCATGGCCAGGCTAATTCTGGTGGAGCTTTTTCTTCGATACGATTCATTCGAAGTAGAGTGGGAAAGGCTCATCATCGGTTTATCCGTCACTATTGTCTCATTCACTAAACGCACGTGAGGGATAACTTTATTCTTAATATGTTGCTAATTAAAACAAAACTCATGTAATTACTGCATACATATGTTGGCTACAATAAATGTAAAATAACTTACAAGCATCACTACAATCACTTTGTATTAATTAGAATTAAATTCTCATCACTACCATGCAGTAGAAATTTACCGAAACACTGTTTGTTATAATTAACATTATCATCAAAGTATCATAACATAAAAATCATAAATAATTGATCGCAGAATAAAGTGAAAATATAATATAAATATTCATAGTTAGAGAGAGATTAACACTACAATTGTTAATTGAATTAATTACCTAAATAGGAGTAAAATGTAGTCCACAATCACAAATAGAACTACGTTATTTTTTATTCACTCGTAGGACTAATTATGTGTGTTTGGAAAATATACTCTGGGAACTTTAAAAATGTTTTAATTCATTAAAAAAATCATAAAAAATAATAAAAAATCGTACAAAAATAATAAAATATTAATATAATTTTTTTTAAATAATTTTTTTGGCAAAAATATATCGGTTTAAAAAAAATTAAAAAACGGAAAAAACAAATCACCGCCGCCTCTGCCACCCCCAACACCACCACATTCAGTCACCGGAAAAAAATTCACGTGCATTAGTAATGCCATATTAATGGTAGTTTCAATGAAAATTTTGGCATTATCAAAGAGTAATATGCCATTTTTTGGCATTTTTTACAAAAAAACTTTACACTGGTTGGAGGTGGTGGTGCAGGGAGGTAGTAGATGTGGTTGGAAAGGCGTCCATATATTTTTATTTTTATTTCATGTATTTTACTATTTTTATTCATTTTTAAATTTTTAATTTAATTTAAAAAAAACACCGCCGCTTCTTCCACCCCCATCCCTGCACCTCCAGTCGCCAGACAAAAATGCCATATGAATTAGTAATGTCACATTAATGACAGTTTTAATGAACAATTTGACATTATCAAAGAGTAATATGCCATTTTTTATACAAAAAATAGTTTGTTTACACCGGTCAGAGAAGGTGGTGCAGGGAGGTAGTAGAGGCGGTGGAAAAGGAATCCATTCTTTTTTTTTTTTAATTTTTTTAATGTGTTTTACTATTCTGATGGACAACAGTAGCTCGATCGTTGTCGGCATATCGGTCGACGGCAACTCCACCAGCAACTCCTCCGAGGTAGTCTTGTCCACGCTTCGATAATTATTCCTATTTTGAGACTTTTAAATATCTACTTCTATATTTTCACGTTCATTATATTTTATTTTTCTGTATCGCTCCAATTTTATCAAGCTTCTTCATACTTCCTCCTCTTAGTGGACTTTGTCAACTTTCATTTTTTGGATCTCATAAAATTTTTCCACTTTCTAATTAAAGTAACTATATATTTTGTGGCGCAACTCACTTCTCTCTCCTCTACATGCACAAACTTCAACCACAAAAGTTTTACTCTTTTTATTCCTCACCTAATTCGAAGAGTGCAAAGTCCATTGGGATGAAGGTAGTATTTTATTTTTATTTGAAATCATTAAATTCTTCCAAACTCATCCTCAACCATTGGATAATTTAACCTATTGGCATCAATAAAGTGTGAAAAGTAGTTTATGGTGTTCTATCATTAGGATTAATTGAGTCATCGTGGTTTATAATCTCTGATGTACTTTGTCCGGTCGGGATTGGGAATCCTAACCTTTTTGGACAATAATATAGGGTGTTGTGACATCATCATAATCATTCATTTTTTAGTGAGGGGCTCTATGAAACATAAGAAAAGAAATTATGGGGACTAAAAGGAATGCAACTACTGATCTGAGACACAGAAAAGAAGATGAAAACTCTTTTCAATTCAACAATAAGAGTATAAAGAAGAAAGGCAGACCAGTTTGTAGTCCGTAGAAAAGATTGAGCGAAAATGAGATAAGCTCATAGACTGATAGAAGCAATCAAGAACGGTACGTCTCATTGGTTTACTGCTTCAATTACAAATAGCTAAATACTCCATATATAAATTTATATCAATTTACTAGCAAATTTGAAACATAGATTGTGTTAGACCCGTAAGGTTGGTGGGTCCTTGGTGTGCCAAGATTGACCTTGACTTGGCAGCGGCATAAGGCAGGGCATCAAGATTGGGTCTTAGTTTGATGACTTCGGGTGTTGGTTATCCGCGGCATGCAAGGCAGGGCCTTGGGCAAGCATGGGGCAAGGCAACGACGAGGGCATTGGGAAGCTAAGGCAAGTGACAGTAGCTCATGGGTGGCTTAGCTGAAGCTGCGGCATGAGTGCTAGCTCGAAGAGTCGTGACGGTTCAGTGCGGGCATGGCTCCGGATAAAGGCAAGGGACGATTACGGGCGAACAGGCACGATGGTTCGGAGATACGCCGTGGCATGAAGCGAACGGATACCACAAGAGCGAACCGGTGGCATTGGTAGTTCGGCTTCAACTGTTGTCCCTTTGGCTATGGCAGTTGGCTTGTAACTGCTAGACCTAGCCCGTCTATAAATAGGCCGCGGCATTACCACGAGTTTTGGGTAGAGACAGTGCGTGGCAAGTGCATGCATAGTCCTGTGTATTATTCGAGTGATTAATACAAGGTTGGTCGTTGACCGTAAAGTGTGTGTGCCTTAAATATTCTCTAAGTGTTCTAAGTGTCCCCTAAACACAAGAAAACGTGTTTGTGAGTTAGGCTGACTATCTTAAGGGTTAAGATAGGCCGTACACGAGTGAAAAATCTAAGTGTGAATTTTTTACTGTGTAACAATTGGTATCAGAGCTGATGGAAGACGATAGTGCTTCATACATGGGGCACCAAGAGGATCCGGATTCAGCAAAGATTTTTATTCAAGCTCTGATCGAAGAGGCACTCAAGCCTGTGTTGGAGCGGTTTGGGATTGTTGAAGCCTCCAAGATGGAGCTTGAAAACGAGAATGAGTTGCTGAAAACCGAGTTAATGATTCTGAAGAAGGCCATGGCGTCAGGTTCTCGCCAGGGCGCGGAGGACAGTTCTTCAAAGATCAAAGTTCCGGAACCCAAGTGTTTTGGTGGCGCCCGAAATGCTAAGGAATTGGAGAACTTCTTATGGGACATGGAGGAATATTTTAAGGCTGCCAAGATTCCAGAAGAGGAGAAAGTGGTGATTGCTCCTATGTATTTGTCCGAGGATGACAAACTGTGGTGGCGGGGTCGCATGGCAGATGACGTTGCTTCTGGAAGGCAAGGCATTGAGTCATGGGATGGACTCAAACGGGAATTGAAGGCTCAGTTCCTGCCACATAACGTTTTCTGGATGGCAAGGGAATCGTTGAAGAAACTGAAACATAGTGGCTCAATACGTGAATATGTGAAAGAGTTCTCTTCTCTCATGCTGGACATTCAGAACATGAGTGATGAAGATAAACTCTTCAATTTCATGAGTGGCTTACAACCATGGCGCAGGCTGAGTTGCGGAGACTAGCCGTGAAGGATTTGCCCACGGCAATAGCTGAGGCCGAGAGTTTGGTGGACTTCAAGGCCACGGCCCCTCAAGGCAAAAAGGGGGACAACGGCAAGAAGGACCAAAGTGGCAAGCCAAAGCTTGGTGGGAAAGACAAGTCTAAGAAGAAGGACTCGAAGTCTTCTTCTGAAGGGGGCAAGAAAGATAAGTCACAGTGCGGGTGTTGGACTTGTGGGGGAGATCATTTCCAACGTGACTGTCCGAAAGGCTCCAAAATAAATGCCATGGTTGAAGGGGAAGCCAAAGAGCAGGGGGCTGGCCCGGCACATTGCAGCCCTCTCCAATTATTGACTGCTATGAACGAGAGACCCCAGAGGGTTGTTAATCGGGGGCTCATGTACGTCAATGTACAGGTGAATGATGTCGAGGTCATGGCGATGGTCGACACTGGGGCAAGTCACAACTTCGTAGCAGAAAGATTGATTGCTAAGTTGCGACTTGAACTCGAGGAGAATAGTTCCAAGATGAAGACTGTGAATGCCGCAACCAGAAATGTGACTGGGCGGGCAGATGTTTCACTCAAAGTCGGAGACTGGGCAGGGATATGTAGCCTGACAGTGCTGCCGTTGGATGACTTTGATCTTATCTTGGGGAACAAATTTCTCCTAGCCGCGAGGGCAGCGGTGTTTCCCTATTTGGGAGGAATGATGATCAATGATGAAGACAAGCCTGGCTTTATGAAGGGCAGGTATGCAGATCAAGGAAAAAGAAAGGGGATAGTTGTGTGCTTGGCTATGCAAATTAAGAAAGGGATGAAGCGTGGTTACGGGACGTATCTCGCTGTCATGATTGAGACCAAGGAAGGGATTTACCAAGACGTTCCAGGGGGAGTCACTGACTTGCTTGAAGAGTTCAAAGATGTGATGCCACCAGAGTTGCCCAAGAAGTTGCCTCCTAGGCGGGCTGTGGATCACAAGATTGAGTTGGTGCCAGGAGCGCGGCCTCCTGCCCAGGCCCCTTACCGGATGTCCCCATCGAAGTTGGAAGAGTTGTGGTCCCAATTGAATGAATTGTTGGAGAGCGGCCTATTGCAGCCTTCCAAGGCACCCTATGGTGCTCCAGTTCTGTTTCGGTGGAAGCAAGATGGATCACTCCGGATGTGTGCTGATTACCGAGCCTTGAACAAGGTAACTGTCAAGAACAAGTATCCTATTCCCAACGCACAGGACTTGTTTGACAAACTGTCGAAGGCTAGGGTTTTCACCAAGATGGACTTAAGGGCGGGCTATTGGCAAGTAAGGATCAGTCCCGAAGATGAGGGTAAAACGACCATATTTACTAGATATGGCTCCTATGAGTTCCTTGTAATGCCGTTTGGGTTGTCAAACGCCCCGGCTACCTTTTGCAACTTAATGAATGATGTTGTTTACAAGTACCTTGATTTGTTTGTCATTGTTTATTTGGATGACATTGTGGTGTATTCGAATTCGATTGACGACCACATTGTGCATCTTAGGAAAGTCTTAACACAACTGCGTAGGCACGAGTTGTATGTTAAGAAAGAAAAATGCGAGTTTAGCATGGGCCAGATTTCGTTCCTTGGGCATGTGATTGGCCAATGTGAAATCAAGATGGATTCAAAGAAGGTTGAAGCCATTGTTGACTGGCCAGTCCCCAGGGACGTGGGACAACTAAGGTCATTCCTT